GTGCAGGACCATAAGAAACAGTACGGAGCGGAGGCAATTAGGATTCTTCTCTTGCGCCACCGGAAACCCAATCGACGATTGTTGGCGATGTGATCGGAATTGGCATCTCCGTCGTAAGCGTCTAGCTAATTGCGCTATTGGTTTCGGCCGTAACGCAGTCGGAGGTCGCGATGGTCGTTACTACGTCGTCACCGATCCATCTGACAACGACGCGGTTAATCCGAGACCGGGGACGCTACGACACGCCGTGATTCAGGATCGTCCGTTATGGATCGTCTTCAAACGCGACATGGTGATCACTCTGAAGCAAGAGCTGATCATGAACAGCTTCAAGACGATCGATGGAAGAGGCGTGAACGTTGCAATCGCAGGCGGTGCGTGTATCACGATCCAGTTTGTGACGAACATCATCATCCATGGGATTAATATCCATGATTGTATAAGGACGGGGAATGCTATGGTGAGAAGCTCGCCGTCGCATTACGGGTGGAGGACTATGGCGGATGGAGATGCGATCTCGATTTTTGGGTCGAGTCATATTTGGATTGATCATAATTCTTTGTCTAATTGTGCTGATGGGTTGGTTGATGCGGTTATGGGATCTACTGCCATTACTATCTCCAATAACTATCTCACTCACCACAACGAGGTTAGATTCTTCGTCCATTCTACTACTGCCTTAACAATACAGTTGAAATAGTGTTGAATTTGTTGTGAAATCATATTTTTGAATTGGATTGGAGCCAACCTTCAGATGCTTTCTGGTTAAGCAAATGATTGTGGTTACTTTAGCTGTCAAATTAGTCTGTATAGTGAGCTGATTACATCGGTTTATCTGTGCTTTGATGTCGTTTTAATTAGGATAGTTATCGACATTTTTCTTACGAACTTTCAAAGTTGAGAAGAAATGTTCTTGATGTGAATGCAGGTTATGTTGATGGGGCATAGTGATTCCTACACCAGAGACAAAATGATGCAAGTGACAATAGCATACAACCATTTTGGGGAGGGGCTTATACAGAGAATGCCGAGGTACTTTATCCATTTTCTATTTTTCCTCTGATTGTTTACCTCAGGAATCAGGAGTGTAAATTCTTTTGGTGTTATTTCAGGTGTAGACATGGTTATTTCCACGTTGTAAACAACGATTATACTCACTGGGTAATGTATGCAATTGGTGGAAGTGCTAACCCTACCATTAACAGCCAAGGCAATCGGTTCCTTGCCCCGGCAAACCCTTTTGCCAAAGAGGTAGACAATAAGTTCTCTTTGATCAATTTCAAACATACAACTAAGCTATAACATTTTATCATGTTTATGGACACACCTTTGATTAAAATACGTCATATTGAGAAAATGATAATATTATATATGGTTTGGCAGGTGACAAAGAGGGTAGGTTCATGGCAAGGAGAATGGAAGCAATGGAACTGGAGATCGCAGGGAGACCTACTGCTCAACGGTGCCTACTTCACTAGATCTGGAACCGCTGCTCCTGCAAGCTATGCGAGAGCCTCTAGCTTAGGAGCTAAACCATCTTCCGTTGTAAGTATGCTTACCTACAGCTCTGGTGCCCTTAAATGCAGGATCGGTATGCGGTGTTAGTCAATTGTATAATCTTCAAAACGAAGACCAAAGAGGATAATTAAATAGCTGAAGCTGAGGGAAACAAAGAAGAAATATATCTTGTTTTCTTCATTCCCGTGTTTCACATTTTCACTGTCTCC